CTAATTTAGTTATGACACAGAGCAGGAGAGTTAATCTGTAAAAGCTAGATCAATAGCTGTATACCATACACCAGGACATGTGTTAATCTGCTCAAGTAAGCATACCACATATGGTACAGCAGCTGCAATTGGAGTCACTATTGATGGAGTTCTTGGTAGTAAACTGTCATTCTTCATGACCCATCTGACTTCTGCACTGGACAGGCAGGAGAGGTAAAGGGAGATGTGGTGGGAACCACCACCCCTGCATCTTTTAAGTCCTTGATGGTGGTACTAATTTCAGCAATTGCTCCAGGGATGTGAAATTGTTTTTGATTTACTATTTTCCCTGGCAGAGGCAACTCTAAAGTCTTTCATTTGGTCTCTCCAACCATAGTAGCCCTCACTCTGGAGGTCAGGGAACCAATGTGAGAATTCTGCCAACTTCTAAATATATCTCTATCACAGTTACTTTCTGGGGCTGGGAAAATAAGTACATAGTGAGTTCAGAAACCTACTGAACCTACTGTGAGTAGAACATCAGCCAAAACTCCATAAGCTCTTACTTTCATTGGAGGGCCAAGGTGTTTCTTGGGATATTCTGGGACCAGTGCTAATTCAGTATCCAAAAAACCCTAGAAAATCTGATTTTTTTTCCCTTTTCCCCAGTGTATGGTTACCCCTATAAAAAGGCCGTCAGTCCCTCTAGAGAAGAACTGTAGAAAGGCTAACAGTCAAACTCTTCAAGGGAAGCTGGCCATCCCTTCATTCACGGGGTTCTGCGTCAGCAAACCGGATCAAGTCTGGAAATTCATTCACAGGCCAAGATTCCTTTTTGTCATGATCCAACAGAGCCTTTCATATGTGTGATGTTTTTTCTACTTACATAGATTAAACAAAAACACAATAAGCTTCTTATCTATTTCATGCCTGGAAATATGTCCACCATAAAATCCATGGTGCCTTTGCTGACCATTACAGGTCAGGCCTTTATGAACACTGCTTTGTCTATGCTGCCCATTGCAATAACTATGATCACCTTGCCTTTGGCAATTCACTACTGCAACCTGGCCCCTGCTACTTTGGGGTCCAATTAAACCCATTACATTTAATTAATCCAACTGAGCAGCAGCATCTCCAACCTTAAGGCCTGGAACATGGGAAAGGGTGATAATAAAACTCTTCAAATGTGCTGGTGCCTCTCTCATAATTTTATATTAGTAAAGGGCATGTCTTCTGGGCCTTCCCTTTCCACAGTGGACCTACTCTAGCTTTCCTTAATCTTAAAATCCTCTCATTAACAATAAGCCAAGGGACATCAGACATCTCTAACTCCTTTTCAGTAGCCCATCTTTTGACAAATGTTTCAGCCAACCATTCAGACTTTTGGCATCCTATTTTTTTTTTTAACTAAACAAGCTTTCGTATTAAACCTAAAATCTAAACTCAGCCTGATCTAGTTTTATATTCCCTTCATCATTACCTCATACCCTTAAAGTCCATTCCCAAATATATTTTCCAGACTTCTGCTTGAATCAATTCACAAACTCATTAAGCTCTTTACAAGTGTTGCATACCGCCTCATGGACAACACTTTCTACCTCCCCTCTTGGAACCTGCTCAGCCTCAAGTCTTCTTACAGGCCTAGAGCAGTGGTCCTCAACCTTTCTAATACTTCGACCCTTTAATATAGTTCCTCCCATTGTGGCAGACTCCAAACATAAAATCATTTTTATTGCTACTTCTTAAGTGTAATTTTGTTATGAATCAGGATGTAAATATTCCTAGAGACAGATGTTTGTCAAAGGGGTAGCAACCCATAGGTTAAGAACCACGAGTCTAGAGTAAACTATTGGTGGGCCCTGAAGGACATCAGTATTGTCTTGCCTGGCATCTTCTTCAGAGAACGTCACTGCTGGTTTAGCAGATGAGGAAGGATTAATTTCTTGAGTCAAGGGTGGAAAAGGAAATATTTCAGAGGGTGGGAGTACATCTTTTGCTAATGGTGAAAAGACTACTTCCTCAGATGAGACAAGCTCTTGAAAATCTGAGGGTTCAAAGTTCTCAGCTCATTAGGGTCCTTTTATGTATCTCCAGCCCAAGTTACAGGATCCCATTCTTTACCAATTAATACCCTTACTTTAACTACCCACACCCTCCAAGGCTGGGATTTGAATTTTCACTCTAATTCAGCAAACCTTATAATGAGGGCTTCGGTTTAATTTTTCTGCTGGAGAAAGATCCTTTCCTAGGGCACACACAGAAAACTTTAGACTGTTTATTCAAATTTGGAGCCAGTCAATTTTATCACCAACTTGATTGTTATCTTTCACCATATTCTGAGATGTTAGAAGTCAGTTAATTTTTATCACTGAGCATCATTTAACTTATTCTTTCACAAATTATTTTAAGTTTTATTTACAGAGTCAACTCTATTGCCTCTCACAATTGGTGAATCAGAAAAATCAAATGCGTTCATTTCCTTAAGTTTGTAAAAGAGTTCATATCATTGTTTTTCAGTACTCTCCAAGCTCCTAGGAGAGGTTTCAGTAACTGCAGATATAGGCAAATTGGAAAGTCTATTCCAGATACTTTAAAAACTCATCCTTATACTTCTGTTGCTCTAGAACCATGGTCCTGGTACCACAATCTGTATTATACAGGGTTCTCTAGAAAAACAGAATGTAAGGAATGAATTTATACATAATAGAAAGGGAATTTGTTAGAATGGCTTACAAGCTGTGGTCCAACTAGTCCAACAATGGCTGTCGACCAACAGCAGGTCTAAGAATCCAGTGGTTGTTCTGTCTACGAGGCTGCATGTCTCACCTGGTCTTCAATATATGCCAGAATCCTGTAGAAGTAGACTCTCAGGCCAGTGAAGGAATAAACAGTGGGGGTAAATAGACAAAGAGAGCTTCCTTTATCTGGGCTTTTTAGCAGAAGGTGTGGCCAGATCAAAATTGTGTCTTTTCACCTTAAAAATAGGATTGAAAGTGTCTCTTCCTACCCCAAATGATTTAATTAAGAATCCCTCAAAGGTATGTCTAGCCATTTGGGAGTTATTTTCAGATGTAGTCAAGCTGACAACCACTAGCCACCACACTTGTCTTCTCACAGACACAAAATCCCTGCTGAACTTATAAAATTGAACAGTAGAAACAAAGGAGTATGAATTTATTTATATACTTATTTGTTCATTTTTGGTGGTAGTGCTGGGGATCAAACATAGAGTCTATGCATTTAGGCAAGCCCTGCAACACTAAGCTACACAGTTAGCCCATTAAATTCACATTTTTAAATAAGTGGTTTCTCATTCCCAGAAATTTGCTAATGAATATTATAGTGCCAGAGTGCTTGGATGTGCACACAAAAACACACATATGTAAACACACACACAGATCCAAATTGAAAAGAAAAAAAGTAACTCCCCAATATATAAGGAATAAACCTTTCGTTTGCTTGTTTTTGTTTTGATACAAGGTCTCACTATGTAGCCTTGGCTGGCTTGGAGCTCAGGATGTATACCAGGCTGACCTCAAACTCAGAGATCTACCTGCTTCTGCTGGGATCAAGGTGTGCACCACCACAACCAACCCAGGACAATCCTTTCTACCAAAGTCAGCCACCAGGACTAAGTTCTCACTCCTTCAAATGTACAATGTAGATATGCAGTATCTTGGTCAAGGCTGAAATACAACAGCTAGGAATGGAAGAGAAAATGATGTCCTCTAAATAAAAAATAAAATCAAAATTAAAAATAAATAAAGAGAAAGATGTATACCCAGTCAGAAGTAAACAACCACTACTACCCAAGTCTAGCTTTTGAGCAGACAGTACACAGCAATGGCTACTCAAGAACAGCTGCACACAGTCACTGCTCCAAAGCAGCCTCCCTACCCCTCCTGGGGGCTCTGTGCAGCAGGCATCTGGTGCCCAATCCAGAAATGCTAAGCTTGGTGATGAAGGGAGTTGACCTCATCAGCTAGGAAGGAAAATGCTGAGATCTGTGTTAGAAAAATGCAGAACTGTGGTCCACACTGACAAGAGTGAAGGAATTTCATCAGCTGGGCCCTTTTCTCCTAGTATGGCTTTGGGGAGTGAGTTATGTTGGGAAGGTCTTTTACTGGCTGAGAAGATGAACAAAGTGCAGAGACTATTAGAGCAGAGAACCATCCTTTCTGGACTCTACAGTCGGCCTGGCCTTTTACCCCTGGCCAGGCCCAAACACAGGGGCCCGGGTTTTGTCATGGGCACCTCCCTGCTGCCTGCACGGTTGCTCCACAGCAGATAGAGAAAGGAGGCAGGCCCCCCAACACCTACTTAAGAGAGGCAGATGGAGAGGAGAGTGTGTGGGATGCCTTTTACCTCCCCCTCAGGAGGCGCCCAGCAGGAGGCCAGAGAGCCAACAGCTCCAAAATCGGATTTCCACACATCCTCCCACCCCAGAATGTCTTACCCCTCTGGCAGGAGGAAACAGAGCATTAAGCAAGTATGGCTCTGGTGTGCAAGGGGATTTCGGCAGTCCTAAAGATATCTTCTCACACTTATGCACTTTTCTGGAACTTCTACAAGGGCAGCCAGGTTAGGAAGTTATTCAGACATTGACTCAAAGAGGGCAAGGCTGCTACTCCAAGGAGCATACAATCAGCGTCTGTAGGCTGTCCTGAACTAGACACATACTTTATTAATAATCTTACATACACAAAATGTCCACAGGGAAGCCTAACAGACTAATTTCTGACAGCTCCAGATAACAGCAGGAGGGACTGAAGCCCTGCTGACTCTCCAGTTTCCGCATACCACTCAGGAGCATTGGGGCCCTTCCCACCCAAGGGATGTGATGCAAATAAATAAATATGATTATCTGCAGGACTTCAAGTGCAAGAACAACACCGCAAAGTCCTTCTCCTCAAGATCAGTGACTTGTGGGGAACAGATAGGACACCAAAACAACAGCTGGAAAACTTAATTACAGAAGGACTGTGCAAAAGCTGACAACTGAAGCCCTTCTCTCTTACCTTAAGATACAGAAGCAGCTCTTGGCCCCTGAAGATAAGCGGCAGAACCCAAATCTCTGTTTGCTGTCAATGTCAGTGAGCACGAAAGTGAAGTGCTGGCCAACTTGGCTAACTGTGAGGCTGCAGTGAAGACAGAACAAAGGGAGAAAATGAATGTGTGCTCAGTTTCCAGATGATGTATCTAATCGCCGCAAGTCATTGAGCCTGCTACATTTCCTTTGTGAACCTTTATAAATGAGCTTAGGATTTACACACTTCAAGAGAGCAGATAAGAAAGTAAAGGGAAATGAAAGGGAGGGAAGACAGGAGGAAGCAAGGATAGGGGAGGGGGGGGAGGAAATGGAGAGGAAAGAGGAAGGAGAGGAAGAAAAGGAGAGAAAGGAGCCAATTCTAATGACTATGAGAAATCAAAACCATCAACAATTTCCAACGCCCCTGACTGAGGCTGGGCTTCAGGTAGTTAGGTCAATGGGCCATAGAAGCACTCTATACTTCTAGTGTATAAAGGAAGAAAGCACAACAAGGTGAGCGGCAAAAGCCTGTTTCCTAATCATCTCTGTGACTCCAAGGACCACAACACCAGCTCACTGTCATCAATGGCATTCAATTTCTACCACGCACCAGCTACGGTTATTCAAATATCTAATGGCACCATTTCATTTGTTCTCACAATAATTTTGGAATTTCAGTAATGTTCCCATTTTACAGAAAAGGACACTCAAGAGTAGCTAGGGAACTCACTCAGATTCAGTGAGTGCCATGAGAACAACGGAAAGAAAAAGGGGCAGGGCTATGAATTCCTAAGTCTTTGATACTTTCTGAACTTTGAAGAACATATTTACTATCTTAGAGGGCAGGAATGCCAAAATGTTAAGCTTGTTCAAGGAACTAAAAATTAAAGCAATGTTTCAAGTGATTAAAAAGCCAAAAAACCCTTGTATTAGTACAAAATAAACTAACTACACATAAAAGTAAGAGTAGAAATTGTCTAATAAATAATTTTAAAGCATATTAATCTAAATCTCTTCAATTAAAACTCTTAAAAGTTACAAAATGCTTCAAAATGCACAATTTTTATTAGTTTACCAGTTATCCTATATCTCACACTTTTAAAAATGTAAACATTTAAAATTCTAATAGGTCAGTTTACAGTAACATAATGTTTAGAATTTGATAGTGAATTAACCCAAGGAATTCAACAATGTGTATGTATCATTTACTATATTTCATAAAGTGTGCTTGAGTTGATAAGATACTAACTTGCTAAAATAGTCAAACTGATGTTAAAGTTCCAATTGTCAGTAGAAATGAAAAATCATTCTTAACAAGCCTTTGCCAAAGGCAGAATTTTATTGTCTTTGGGTAGGCTATGAATTAAAATTTCAAATATAGATTAGACTTTCTTTCTAATGTTCCCTTATACAAATCACAAAAGAAAAGTAAAATTAAACAGATTTTCAAGGTATCCCAGCACAATGGTCAAGGACCTTGCCTCGTTATATTTAAGGAAACAATTCTATCCCTTGGAGAGTGCTTCAAGCACAGGAAAATGGCTCCAAAAAACAAGGAAGTGTTCCACTCTCCTTATTTAACTAGGAAGGTGAACAAAAACAAAGCGGCAATTTCAAAATAATGTGGTAATAAAGCAGGTGCAAGAAATGCTATCTCCCACCTTACAGCCAGGGGAAGGAACACATTTCCATAAAAGTTATAGAGCTGTCAAGGGGACACCAAATGCTACCTTCTTATGGCTGTTATGTTTTATCTATAAAGCTTGGACACTGTGTTACTATGGTGATTTACTACTGTGTTTTAAGGGGGATTACATGATTAATTTTAACAAGGTTGAGAACTGAAGATTGTGAGGAGCAGGATTCCTGCTCATAATTAAAGTGATCCAGGAGAAAAGTGAGCCTTGGTGGGGGGAGAAGTCTGCTTTTATTAAAATACTTAAGGCAACAGGTGTTCTAAATCCAAGACACAAATAAGGTCATGCTTCTGTGAGATGTTACTATGTGATCCAACTGAATGTGATTCATTATTTTGCTTTGGGTTTGACTTTAGTCTTCAAATGTGCAAAATGAAAACTAGAGAAGATAGGGCTGGATGATTCCTAGGAAGGATCCTGTATGACAATGACTTGATCTGCAACGTGACTGCCATCGGTGTCCAATTCTTCATACTATCATTAAAAATAATTTTTTTAGAAAAACATGCATAACTACAGTTGAAGCTCAAAAAAAAAAAAAAAGACTCTTTGCTCACTGGCTTGGTGCAAAGCACAGCTCAACCTGACTCTTAGCAAGTTTCTTAAAACTAGTTTTCAGAGCTTCAATTTCTTCACATGGAATAATTAAAAGAAGCTATCACTCAACCCCAAGAATGCTTTGAGAACCAGTGGGATAAACATTTATTTTTAAAAGGCCAGTCTTTAATAAAAGGTAGGAGACAAGCTGCTACCAACTGATTGAAGATAAAATTCACAGAAAGGTTATAATTTAGAGTCTGCCTGACCAACTCAGCTTCCTAACACCTGAGCACAAGTAGTTATTTTGCCTCATTTCTTTCTATAAGAGTAGTCCTCTGGGGGACCAAGTGATTCAAGTTTGCATTAAAATGAATGATTCTTTTTGGGATGTTGCAGTTTAGAAGAAGACACTTATTATTCTCAATTGAGTCACCTTTTTAGTTCCTAGAGGGGTTGAAGTCAGGTCATCAAAAACACAAAAGCGGTTGACTCATTTTTTTTCTCTCCTTGGACAATGTCCAATAAACTAAGCCTGTCATGGGGCAGTCAAACAGAGGTTAACTTGAAGGATTCTGAATCTCGAAGGAATGTATCACTCACTCCACTAGCTATGGGAGCCTTCACTATTTTTCATTTAAAAATGACTGGGGTCTGTTTCTTCAAAGGCTACAGTTTATTTCCTTTAATATCAGCAACCATAATTTCTACAAGAACCAGCTATTTCACAATGGTTAAAGCAAAAGGAACCATAGGAATCATGTGATCCAATTTTCTTGTTTTATGGGTGGGAAAACTGAGGCTTAGGGTTTTGTTTTGTTTTTCAAACTAGGACTAGGGCAAAAATCCAAGCCAACTTCTGGTTCAATGTCCTTTCCATCCTGCCATGCTGCTCTAAACACAAGCCCAGCCCTCCTCTAGAAATCTCACCTCAGGTTAAGGAACAAAACTATGAGAAGAACGCAAATAGACTGTGCTTCTCATTAAGCTCCAGACAGCACATTTGAGTACCTACAGAAATAAGTGCAGTTGACCAAGACCAGGATACTGATTACCCTTAAATACTTAGGTACAGTTGAATGAGAATACAAAACTAGGGAATAGATCAAGAACTAAGCCCATACTAACCTTCATGCTACTCTCTAAATGCTTGTCAGCTATTCAAGCTTCTTACCTTACTTTGTTTAATAGTGACGTTGCTTATAGGTTTGGCACAAAAACAGCATGAAGTTTGAGGTTTGAGTCAAGTCTTTCGATAAGAAATGAGATTTTTTTACATATCAGTAAGCTTACTCATTTTGAACACTGAATTGTAACTACACAAGGTGATATAGTATGTGCTGGAAACACATGCTGAACAACAAAAACAGAGATCTTGCAACTCACATGGCTGATTACCTAATTGGACAGCAGTTTCTCAGGAATGACAACATTGATTCAAAGAATAAGATGGAATGGTCACACCAGGCACAAGAAACTGATTATTTCTAGCAAAGGAAAAAGCTATGCAAAGACCATGGGGGTTGAAAGGAGTTGGGCACATGCAGGAATGAAAAGGATACCAGGAGCACCTAAATAAAGCACAAGACATGAACAGTAGGACCACATGAGTTGCTACATAAAAGTGAGCACCAGGCCATGCAGAATACCTCATACACAAGTCATGATAAGGCATTTGCTCTTTTGGGTGGGTATGGGGTATTTGGAGTAATGAGAGGGCACTGAATACTTCTCATCAAAAGAAAAGCATTCATCTCAAATATCTAAAAGATGTTAAGTACAGCACACTAGGTAACAAATCCACGGGAATGTTTGAGTTGGAAGCATAAATTCAGAAGTCATCTGAATACGGGTGGTGCTGAACACTCCAGAAATGATGAGGTCAACCTAGGAAAAGAGTCCAGAGAGGCAAACAATCATCCAAAACTCATTCACAGAAGAACTACCAGAGACAGCAGATGGAAAAAGAACCATTAAAGGAAAGAGAGAAGGACCAGGCAGAACAGAGGAAAGAAGGTCACCTGTTCTGATGCATCAAGATGAGAAGGGAATATGTCTATCTATCACTGTGAATGATAAGGAGGTGGCCTTGATAGGAACAGTTGTAGCTGAAAGACAAAAGCAAGAGAGGCTAAAAGGAGCCGAGGAATGAGCTGATGGGTACAGATAACTCTTTCAAGAACTAAAGAACCCAACATTAATTAGGTGGGAAGAGTCAGTGTTAGGTACTGCTTTGGGAAGGGAGAAGTTATTTTTAAGCCACTGAGAATGACACTGGAAAAAGAAAAAAAATTGTAAGAGATGTGCTTTGTGTAATACTAGTTCTTCTACTTACAAGCTGTGGTGGTAACATACAAGTTACTATACCTCTCTGATCTCTTCTGTAAAATCAATCCTCACACTACAAAGTGGTTTTAAGAATTATAAATCAATAATATAAAGAATATTTAAAATCTAGCACATAGGAACTACACAACAACAATGGCCATGACTGTTATAAAGTGCATGTCTGGAACTAAAACACTGTCATCCCTGCTTACTATAGCTTACTAACAATCATCTGAAGAACTGTTTACTGCCAAATTATCCTGCCCTTGAGAGTTTGTGGCCAGCTGGGCAAAGGCCAAGCTTTTATCAAACTGTATCTCCCATCCTTACGGACCAAGAACCACAAAACTTTTTTCCATGAATACACTTTGCATTTGCCGGAATCACAAGCTTCTTACCATCCCTGCTCAGTCAAACATTGAAAACAACACTCTCAGGCAGTAAGCTGCAGACTGTTAGAAACAGCATAGCCCTTATCTGCTCAAGAAAATACCAGACATTTCTAAGAAAGAACAAAGATCTCCCCCGATCTTTTCTACCTAAGCCTGATGAAGTAAATTATCAATAACCACAGAATTTAAACTTATCAAAACTGGAAGAATAGTAGAGAGTGTCCCAGTTCTACAGAACGGACACAAGTCAAGGGGAGCACCAAAAGGAAGCCTACACCTCAACAGGTCACTACACACCCTGATGCTGTGGAAATGACATGAGCCACAGCTGAACCCGTCATTTACATTAAACAAAGAACTGAAGTCTAGCATAATGAATATATGGAGCAACAACAGAAGTATGGGAAGATTTATACTGATGCACTAACTCAGACAATTCTCTATCTGTGTCGGAGCCATTTTTTTTCAGGTATCTAAATTTTCTACTTTTCTACAATATCTACATTATTTTCTAAGTATATTACTTTGTGCTGTGTTACCTAATGGCAGCAGTATGATAAAGCAGAGAGAGAGAAAAAGAGGGAAGGAGGGAGGGAGAGAGGGAGGGAGGGAGGGAGGGAGGGATGGAGGGAGGACGAGGGGAGGGGAGGGGTGAGAAAGAGAGAACCAGAGGTTGCCGCAATAAAAAGAGGGGCTTGAAAAGCAGTTCCCTACACACACTGGAGGCAGAACCTTGAACACATTACTGAACCTACCTGGGCTTCTGCTGCCCACATACAGAATACTGAGCACTACAGCACTACAAATTCCTACATTTCAGCATAAGGAAAGAACAGTGCCCAGTGCCCAGTAGATGCCAGACACAAGCTAAAGTGCCAAGTAACATCTGAGCCCCTTTGCATCTGTGGCTGCATCTAAAATCATGTAACCGTGTCATTTCATTTTGTACATCTATCATTAGTGAGTACTGGTGTATTCACAGGAACTCAGTGAAACTGATTTAAGTTCTGAATAAGGCTATGCAAAGGAGGAAGAGGAAGAAAAGCTTCCCGGCATCCAGTGAATCATCACAGGCATTCTGACTCACTGACACTGCTGTCAGCATCATGTGCAACAAGAGGCAATCACAGCATTGAATGGGGTGTGTCTCTCATTCACTCTGGGAAGTGCTTTCATCAATAACAGGGAACCTTTTCTGAGACAATACAGGGACTTAATGCTTACTTTACTACTTCTATCCCCAACGGACTGCAAGAACTCTGGACTGAAAAGGAGTTCCTTCCCAATATTGGAACTGTGGTAATGATAGGCAGGGCCTTTACTCTTCTGTGGATCTTGACTTTTTTCTGTAAAAGGGGAAGTCTGAGGGAGATGCTGTACTCTCAGACCATGGAGGCCTCTCCCACACATTTTCAGAGACTCCTGTGGCCAGAACCCAATCTTTCACAGTACACAGCAGTCTCCCCAGTAGGCTCCATCTGCTCTGGCTGAACATCTCCAGGCTCACTCAGGGTTTTCTCCTCTGCTTTGCTCTGTGTGCATATGAAGTGTTAGGTTCACTTCTCCACTTACCTACTTCTTGCTGGCCTGGCAGACAAAACACAAATCTCACCTACCATAACAAGTTCTCTCTGAGCATAGTAATCTTCAGTTACCTACCAATCCTTTCAAACAGTGTTTAAAATGCCTTTACTGAACATCTTGATCTAAACCTGAGACCATTTCTATATTCTGCATATAACCCAACATAATGGGAGCTATCCTGGGTAAATCTTTGCTTTCATACCTATTGCCTGGCCATTGCTGAAAGAGTAATGGAGGATATAACCAGTCAGGGTGGTACACTGACTAGAATTCATTAGATATTCAAAGCTAATTTTCTTTCCTTTCCTCCATCCCTTGATTTCTCTGGTTTTAGTGACTAGTCTTTAACCAGAAGGTGATCTACTAGGAAGATGAAACCTAGGACAGGCTATAAGCCTAACGGGACCTAGGTAAGTCATAATTCCTCCACACTCACAGTTCCAAATGAAGAACACGTACTTGCTCTTATCTCTTACATCAGATAAAATAAAACGAGTTAATACGTGAGACAGACTCTCTTCTGCACAGCTACTAGCATTATTACTTTTGGTAAGTCTTAGCTTCCAAAAGAACAACCTTAAAACAGAACAAGAGATGGCAAGACATCAGTGCTGATGGGTGATTTGATGATGACTGTGAAAGTTCCACTCCTGTTGCAGACTAGAATGTCAGAAAGCTGTATGACTGTTCCTTAGGGTAGAAAAGCACAGATCCTCAGATGAGGAAGCCTTCCGTTTGGAGTGCAGTCACCTGGGGCACTGCTCATCTCCCACACTTGTCTACTCACTAAGTCAAACAGTTCTACAGACCCACCTGGGGAAACTTGTGGGCCTCAGAATCTGGGCTCATCTATTTGAGAGTGTGAACAATTAGTTTAAAAAAATCCTGACATTAAAACCTCTCAATTTCTCATAAAGGAGTCTAATTGTGACGATCTCTTCTATATTGAAGTAAGTCTGCCTAAAAGGAACAAAAGAAGAGAAAATATGGTCTCCCAAATAAAGTGGGATCTTCTTTGTTACATGTTTGTGGCATGAGCTAAAGTTACCCTAAGGAATATAATACAATATGAAGACAAAATATTACACACTGAACAATCTACATAATGTTGCAAAAGAAAAAATAAAGAACACCATTGGTATGAGTGATTTGCAAAAATGTGTTTTACAAGAAAAATATTTTTCCAGTAGCAATAAAGAAGCATCCAACACTACAGGTAACAAGGTGAGGGTTGCTTCAGAATTACCCCTGAAGGAGTTCTACTTTTATTTTCTTTAAGAACATAATTATCCAGATGCACAGACAAGCAGGGTGGTGTGTGCAGTGAAAATGAGAGGTGTATGTTATATTCATGTGTGCGTGCATACTGCATCAGGGTGGGTCATTAACTAATATTAGTTTACAAAGCCAATTAAAAAACACTTATCCAAAATAGATCACTACTCTAACAAGCAATCTTGTCAAAATGTTTTCTTATATATTTTGTTGAGCATTTAGCTTTTTTAATTTTTATAAATATCTTTTTATAATTTGTAATATAGTTCTTAATTGGCTAGAAATTCAATACATGCTGATACATACATATAAATATAAAATTTGCACTGAAATCTCTCAACAACACCCTAGAGTTCTTGCTATGTTTTAGAAGCAATAGGATAAGGAGGAGAGAAGAGATTCTCATTACAAAGACAGATCCTCTTAAAAATCAAAGCTATTCTGTTCTGAGCACCCACAAGCTACTAACACATTCTGGTACCAGGTTTTAAAAACTCTGAGTCTAAAAGCACAGCAATGGCTGATTGGCTTAAAAACAGCATGTGAGAACCAGGGAGCGCACTGATGCTAAGTGGCTGGCGGCATTCCAGAGTGCTTTAGAACTCAAAACCCTTCAGCTACCATCTCATCCCACACCATTCTTAGATTTATCCTATAGACCAGGATACTGGTGTTAACATCTAGAAAAGAACTCAGTAGAATACTACCTGCATGTATTCTAAACGACTCAAATCCTTTAGATCATGCCTCATTTGTGGATGTGAAAGATACATGATAGAATATTCCTGAAGATGGACATTTTACACAGCTTTCTTGGGACTGTTTTCTGAAATTTATTAGTCATAATTTGCTCATTTTCTAATATCTCTAACACTAAAAGTAGAATTAAAACAAACAAACAAAACAGAAAGCTTTTTACAGTCCCAGTTCAATTTCCCAAGAAAACTGAAAAGAGACAACAAGAAAATGGACAAATACATGATCATAAAAACAATGCTTCACTGGCATGAAAGCCACAGCAAACAGTTCTTACAAATAAGAGAAAACTCACCACCTTGCCATTTTACTAACATTAATAGGTTAAAATTAAAAAAGTAAAATCAAGTTTAAAAAATTGCTGCTACCATGCAATGGATTATTTAACAAACAAAATAAAACAAGCCTCACAGCATTTCAGTTATCCTGGAGTTCTTATAGTCGAACCTTTCCCATTAATCACTTCCTATGATAAGAATACTAAGGGTTGTTTAGAAGTTTGTGTATGTTTTAATATTCGTGCCTATAGAAAACGCTGATTCCCCAGAAACACTACCTCTGGTCACCTAAACCAAATGAATGTTACTATCTAGTAACATATCTTGTAAGCAGTAAAATTCTTCTAAACAAGATAGGTTCATATCTATTTAAATTTGAAGTTGAAACCAAGGGAAAACAAACTACAAGGCCAGGTGTTCATGTATCACTTGTTTAAGTCAAATATATTAATACTTAAATACAAATCCAACATTCTTAATCATGGTTTAAACACCAACCATTCTTAATCATGGTTTAAGTCTGATAACCAAAATAAAAAATGTAATGCCTGCTGGGTGGTAGTGGTAGATGCCTTTAATCCCAGCACTGGGGAGGCAGAGAAAGGGAGATCTCTGTGAGTTCAAAGGAACAAGAGCTACTTCCAGGACAGACTCCAAAGCTACAGAGAAACCCCGTCTCGAAAAACAAACAAACAAAACAAAGCAAACAAAAAAGATTAATGCTGCACAAAATACATCTCACAAACTATTTAACATGTAGTTCTAAGCTTTAAACTTTTTGATGGTGTTAATAAAGTTCCCAGGAAAGGAGAACGCTGGAACTCTCCGTGGCATAGACACTTTAAACCATGGCTTAACAGACAGAATGTTAAGAATGGCATGGCTTTTATTTTCTATAGCAGGTTTATTGATACCATTTTTATTTTTAATAATAAAGTTTGAAAATCTGACACTACCTGTCCACATAGAAGGGGAAACAAAACTTGGTCAAAGTCTGCAGAACTTCCTGTGAAGAGAAAGAGAGATAATTTATACATCCAATGGGACCAATAAATCTAATATTAATCACAGAACACCATCTAGCAACTTTACCCTAAAGAAAGAAAGAGACCAGATGAAGAAGTATGTGTTTTATCAATTACACAGGAGGAGTACCAGGCAGTCAATCATGAGAAATAATAAACATGATCAAACTTCATTAAAAATGAAAAATTAATCAAGAATCACACATGGGCAAGCAGCAGGAGCCATGCAGGAAAGCTCCGAAGGGAGGGAGGTGCTTGGGTTGCCGAGTGTTAACACCCCTCCAGGGACCATCTCCAGCCTGACCATATGGATCAGAGTGAATAACACTGAGCCACATGGGTTTGGCCTGGCAGGGCCGCTATTGCTGGCACTGTTTTTGACTGTTACCTAGGAACAGAGGGGACCGGGATTAGACAATGCTTCTCAGCATCAATAAGCCAAATTATAGCAAAACAGAAAGCCAACTTGAAGATAATTGTTTATGAACATTCTTAACTTCATTTTTAGAGTTTAAAACTTCATTTAGTTGCTGTATCAAGAAGTTTGTTATTTGTGGCATAAATTAATTTTGGAAATCAAACTGTGACCATTGTTTGTAGTAAATCATTATTATAATTAGAAACACCTGTTTGTAACTTATGAAAATCCAAAGCAAACTATAAGTTTGAATAAATGTTTTTACAAATGCCGAGGCACATCATGGCAAGCACTTATTCAGGACAAAGGTACAGGAAGGAGTGGCATCTCAAAATTTTATTTATAAAAGACAATGTTCTTACATTAAAACAAGAACATTGGAACATGTAGCACAATACAGGGTGGGAAACTTTTCCTAACAGACACATTTTATATACACATATATGCACACAGCTAACTATATATACAAGTAATTAACTATTCTTCATAGACTTTTCTACATCTTGACTTAATCTGACCACAGGCTTGGACAGCTCACAGTTGGAGTTCAATCATAAGGTCACTGACCAGTGTTATAAATTTTTAAAAAGTACTCCTTTCATGAATTTGATTTTCTTTCTAACTAATTTAAAATCCCAACCTCAAGACAAAATGAATTACACATTTTTTTGGGGGGTGGAGGTTATTGGAAGCTGGTTCAATTTTGAACAAACCTGCCTGTTGCAAATACTAATCCAAGTGATAAATTAAAGATCAGTTTACAAATGTAGTGCTTTTCTCACCAATAATGAATTATCAATGCTAACTGAATTGATGCTTCTTGCTTCATTTATTTTTAAAACCAGTTCTATCATTCAAGAATTAAATCGCATCAATTTAATAATCCACTCAGTGAAGCAGAAAGCACATTGACTTGTTGTGCCAGAGCGTATTCTACCAACAAAATTCAATTGAGCATATATCCTAATTTTAATATCATCTTGGACTGGGTCTACATATATAGCAGCACTGTTAAGGCATGAACTGTTAAGGCATGTTAAGAATAATGAAAGCTAAGAGTATCTGCATGTTCTGAGAACATTACTTATCAATTGGACATTCTATGTGGCATTCAGCAGTCTACCTACTACGGTTTTAAACTAGTAGTGTGTGGCTAAAATAAAGCATCATAAAAGGAACAATTTCTCAGTATATATTATTGTCTCACAAATGCTTGGAAAGACACTGTATAAAACATTCATTTTAATGTAATTATAAAATACATTATCCACATACAAAACTCCCACGGCATTATAAAGTAAACAATTCCTTCTTTTCCAAATAATACCAGAAAGCATATGTCAATTTAATTTAAAAGTCAGTACCATTTGCTCACTCATTGCCAACATCAGCAGCTACAAAGACAGTCATCTTTTACTCCTCAAAAGTTTCAGGTGCAAATAGCACTTCTCTGCTCTATGCTGGAGTTGTACTGGCAAAAGGCCTCAAAGAGTTTTGAAAGAAAGGACCCCCATGGCTACTAGAAAGCATTGTGCTCTACAGCAGAGTCAAAAGAATTGAATATGCCCAACTTATTACTCACTACAATATAAAAACTACTTACCACTTTCTTAGGTCAAGAGTAATGACCAACCATGAACTTATCTATCAAATAATAGTAGAACAAATATGGAAATGACCACTATAGGCTAAATATAACCCACCTCCCACAAGCTTTCCTTTTCATCCAAAAATGTAGTAGGGCAGGGGAGATAAGGGGAGAGGGGATATAAGAAAATGCAGTCACATGTTTGCATATTACCGTATGCTTCTTGAGTTTGTGATGCCACAAGTGTTTGATATTTCAATTTATGTCAAACAAGATGGTGGTGTGCTGTCAAAGGAAAAAACTGAGCGTCTATCTGGATACATATAATCACATGATTTCAATCAGAACTAAAATATCTACTTCTGAGTATGGGGAGGGGGCGACAAGAAAGAGGGGAAACAAGCAATGTTCTCTGTAAAGAAAAGTTGCCAAAATAAACCAATTTTCTGCATACTGATCCTTTCATCATATATAAATATTCAGTTACTTTATCCTCTTTGTCCAGAGAAAAACACATTTATTCAAATATGGAAAGACCACTCTCTAAGGGAGGGAGAGCAAAACCTGATTTGAATATTTTTTGAACCTTCTTAGTTATTACAGAGTATTTCAGAATCTTCCAACACTAATTTTACTAGGGGAAACAATCAATGACTGGAGACCAACTCCCTTTTCTCTCAAAAGCCATGTCTGGCTAGGAGCGCAGTCTGTAGATGTCAACTGCACTGTTTTATTCCCCACACGAGCTCTTTCAGTCAGCCAGCCTCGGCTCAGCCTCCATTCCTGCCACATAAAAGGGGATCTTGGAAAGGCAGGGGAGCTGATGAAATGTAAACGACCTCATTGCAAAAGTGGGGGTTGGGAGGAATGTGTGCCAGTTCTCTAGATCAATTCCCAAGTTTATATTTTCACAAATCTTTTTATGTACAGTCTGATTTTTTTTAAATTTTAATGAGAAAAAAAAAAGTGAATCTATAGTATCCAGTCACTGCAGTTAAAGTGCAGGGCATGAACTAGATCCCAGGAGGGAACCAGTCCACCATGTCACCACTGGCTTTAGGACATTCACCACCTGGTTCCATGTCCCCAGGTTCCAACTCTTTTCATAATCAAAACACTGCTGACATTATAAATCCCAGATGGGTTTTCTAAAATCTCTCCCAATCAATATATCCAACACATAACTTATTGGAGACAACACAGAGCTCATTGACTAAGGTGAGTTTGGTAGCAAAGTTTTCAAAATAAATGAGACAAAAATTCAATGCCTTTGTGTCAGCAGACAATTTATGAAACAGGCAATTTCCAAAATGCTTTTCCTTCTAACAAATATATGATATTTCATGTGGGAAGAAATAGAAACTGGGGAGGGAGGAATAAAAAGGGGGATAGCCACACAATCTTTTCAGTTATGCATATATTAAACAGCCAGCTGTACAGGAACAGGAAAGAAGCAGCCACAGAGCCTGCCCACCAGGAGACAACAGCCAAGGCAAGATGAAACAAAAGAAGTCAGAAATGAACTCAGGGTTCACCTTGGTCCACTCTAGGTTCATCTCACTTAGTGGAAAGTCTTACCTCTGCCTAGAAAATCCATCAAGGAAATCTTCCCCACTGTGAAGAAAGAGGAAATAATTCCAGCACTGAGATATTCTCTTTAAAATGCAGTCAAGTTTTATATCTATAATGCCCAGTATAGACTACTATCTGGGAGTAAAACTTTGAAGACTAAATTTAATGACTTTATCTAGGCCTGTTAATCAAGAGAAGGCTTGACTGTGTCACTCTAAATCTGGGCCTTGAAGAAGGGGTGCAGGTAATCCTACAACAAACATCCTTTGCTAAGTCAAACACTTTGTTTTCACTGCTTCAATGGCAGAAGAAAACAGCAGTCAGACATAGACATGCATCTCCACAAAAAAGTGCCATCTGAAGGATAAAAGTAAAACTCATTTTATAGTGTCTCCAGAAAGTTCAGAACACTGAGAGACGAGGCAGAATCTTCATAATTCAAAGTGGGGGGGGGGGGTAAAAAAAATCTAAGAAATACTATGCAAATACTATGCAAAACTACAATTAGCCTTTTAGTGCATCCTAAAAGCTGACAGAGTACTTGATAATTTTCCTTTGGGGGCAGGGAGATGGAGAAGAAAACAGTGGGAAAACAAACAGAGGGAGATGGGAGTAAAACAGAGGAGGGCAGCTGGAGGAGGGGGAGATGGGGGAGAGGAGGGCAGCCAGTGAGGGGAGAGATGAAGGAGAGGAGGGCAGTCAATAGAGGTGGGAGGAAATTAAAGTAAAGAAGGAAGCCAATGGAAAAACATTTCCTGAGTTTTTTTATATCTAATTTATTTATTCACTTCAAAATTGAAGGTATGTGAGAAAAAGAAGCTCAAATTCCTAACATACTATTTTATTTATTTATCTACTTCTAATTTTTTGTTTGTTTAGTGGTAGGAGAAAAAGCTGACCCCAACCTCTAAAAGTGAGAACAGTACCACTGACGTGAAAGAAAATCCTTTGGCCAGTGATCTCAAAACACAAGTTGAAAGGTACAGAACACAGACAATTCAAACATACAAAAAGAAACAAAATTTGTACTTTAAGCTATTTCAAGTTAAATCTAGGGAATCCAAGGGAAGCTAATAAAGGTTTCTAATGTTTACAATTAAGAAGAGTAAAGCAGAAGTTCCTGGAAGCTTAATTTGCATCAAATTCAAGGATTTTAATCAGAACTTTCCTAAATGTGAAATCAGTAAATAAATTTTTATTTTATTAAATTAAATTAATTAAATTCAAGATCCATATCATGCATGGTTGAAATCTCTTTTTTCCCCTCTCCCAATAAGAAAAAGAGGCTTTGAATAAAGGGTTTTACAGAATGGCCTTTCAACGCTGACCAGAAAAGCCAGGTCAATTTTTGAACAATACTGCTCAAACACATTTTTTGCTACTTTTTCTTTTAGGAATATTCA